CACTGGGAGATCGCCGTGAAGGAAAGCGCCAAGAGAGAAGAAACTTTAGGAATTCGGGGCTTTTGTTTTTGGCCAGTGTGTTGGTGATACATTCATGTATGAGTTCAACGAAGAGAGAGTGATCCGAGAGAGACTCTCGAGTATAAACGTCAATGTGTGCCTCTCTCTTCCTCAATGATCAGAATCTTTGCTCCATGAATGGCGTGGACTTTCTCTTTGCTTGTAACTTCAAAGCCACATGTGGGCGATGATGGACTCCTTCACAGTTTGCACTCCTTCACACGACCTAAGTGGATCGTTTCCCACCTTTAAGCTTGTACAAATTCTTGCCCTCTCTTTCTATTCTTTCCTCTTCTACTCTTGGAAATCCCACTTTTGCCTTTCGGGATTCACCCAGTCCCATGATGCACTCGGAGCTGTTTACCGAACACTAGAGGATATATTGAGTCGCAACTTCCTTTTTGCTTCAAATATTGTACAATGTAAGTTCAATTTTCTTTTCACTATTAAGCACTTTCGGCTACCGAATGGACTGACTCGAATGCAATTTATGTGGACCTATGCAGATTAATAATTTTTTTTAAAAGTCGGGTCGATCCCTAATTATTTTATTTAATAAATGATTAAATGAGTCATCAAAATTTAAGTGTCAACGGTTGCCGGTAGAGAGGTTGCTAAAGTGTGATTGGCTCTCCTTCGGGTTCCTCAGCACCTTCGTGCACGAGGATTTCACCACCAAAATGCGACCAAAGGATATGTTTGGTCGCTCGGATAAAACACCAAATAGGATTAAAAAAAAATTATCTTATTCGGTTTAGAGACACAATCAATTTTGAAGAAGCCTGGATAAGTTTGAATGAACCTCGGACAACTTATCCCGACACCAAAGGTAAGATAATTTGATGTCACACGAATAGAAATAAAAATAGAAAAATCAAATATAAAGAAGAGGGCGAGAGAGATGCATAATCGAAGAAGGCCTTCTGCCTTAGGCGAAGCCAACAGCGGTGGCGCCACCTGTAGTTGCACCCCTTGGGCGACTCCGTCGCCATCGTCTCAAGCCCAAACGTATGAACTTAAACAATAACACTCAACAAATCTCTGTAATATAATAACCATTGGCCTACATTTAAATTGAGCAATACCAGCGGCTAATGTCAACATGCCTCCTTGGCCCGGGAAAAAGTACCAAAAAAATCTTAAACATATTGCATTAGTACCAATTCGTCATAAACCTTTCAATTGGACCAATTTAGTCATAAACCTTTTCATATTGGTATCAATTCAGTCCATCTAGCCAATTTAGGTGGAAATCGCTCACGTGGATGTTTGCCGTCCTACATGGCATGGCCGGTGCTAACATGTACAATTTTGAATATTTTTTCGTAATTTTTCGAATTTTTTGAATTTTTAATGTTTTGTTTCCTTTTTTTTCCAGGATTTTAGTACGTATTAGATTTAATTATAGCAATACAACGTGTAAGAACAAGTTACGATATATTGCAAAAGCGATGTTCTCGAATAAACAAAATTAAGTACTTCGTGTTAGAATAAAAGTATTTCAAAAAACTGGTTTCCCACGCCTTTCCGACCTTGTTTGGAAAGCTCCCTTTTGTTTTACTCTATTAAATAGTTTATTTTCCTAGTTTGGTAAAATAAAGACAATGCTGTGTGGTTGTAAACTTATTTGTTTGGCACTTTACAATTCTCTTTTCACAATTCAGCACTTTGAGCTAACGAATGGACAGACTAGGATGCAATTTACGTGGACCCTATGAAAAAATTAATAATTTTTGTTTATAGATTCCACAGTCGATCCCTAATTTTTTTACTTAATAAATGACTACATGCGTCGCCAAAATTTACGTAATAAATTGGGTGAATGGATTGAATTGATACCAATGTGAAAAGGTTTAGGACTAAATTGATCCAATTGAAAGGTTTATGACTGATTTAGTACCAATGCAATAGGTTGATGACTTTTTTGGTACTTTTCCCTCTTGGCCTCACTCTCATCTGTCTCTCTCTCTATTAATAAAATATAAGATGAAATATAAGATACAAATAGATATCGTTATTTTCTCTAGAATTTTATGAATTTTGATATTAATATAATAGAATATAAAAATGATGTTATTATTAGTTTACTTTAATTGTATCATAAATGAAAAACTTGCCTTTAAAAATAAAACTATTTTAAGTACAATATCTTAAAAACGTTATATCCAATAATAGAATTTGGCTAGTTTTCCATACTGTCCAACAATAAATCAAGATAATGTTTTAGTCACTTGTGATTCGATATAATCATATCTTCAATGTAATGGTTGACTAATGGAAAAATATAAAGTACACTGAAAATCGATGTTGTTTTAGACGAGTATAATATGACGCATGTTTTATACGAGTGTAACTAGTTTTACACCAAAAGAATGAGTAATTTATTGTAAGTTCAGCAAATATATGGAAGATGGGTGATTTTATTGAAGATCATATTCGTACGTGTATTTCATGCAAAAATACGAGTATTTTACGAATAGATGTGTGTTTGTTCAACAGTCACTCTGAGCTCCGTCTATCTTTTGCGGGATGGGAGGGAGGATGGTGGATGGCGGTGGTGGTGGCGGCGGCAATGGCAACGGCAACGGCGGCACGGTTGCAACCACAACAAGGAGAGAGAAATCGGCAAAATTACGTCTATGGCACGATATTGCACTGTGGCTGCAAAAAAGTGCTTCTTGAAAAGTTTTCACATTCTTTATCTATGTGCAAATGAGTTACATTACAATTATTTGGAAATCATGAATCCCAAATTGCTGGGAAAAAAAAATAAACGCAATCCATACATTCATTTCTCTACCAGACCAAGACACCATCTTTCTCTACCAGCTTCTGATGAACTCCTTTGAATTTATACGGCATCCAACGATGGCATACCGATGGATATGACTTCATGACTGAACCACTTGTTTCATATCGGTCGCCACGCCAAACCGAGGCAAGCCGTTTGGGAACGCATTCGGAGGAGCCACCCCCACAGCGCGGCGGGCAGCAAAGTTCCGCGTGGCTGTGCAGGGTGCCCCGCCACCCCCCGTGTAGGAGCAGCCGTTTCCAGGGGGACGGACGGGGCCCTTCTGCAGAGCCTGCAGAAGGAGGAGGCCTTGCCGGGCCCACGATTCTTCGCCGAGCAGCCGGCAAGCCTCGTTTTGTTGCACCATCATCGACCCCATGAGGAGGAGCATGATCACAGCCATGGAACTTGACCTTGAGAACCTCATCTCTCTCTCTCTCTCTCTCTCTCTCTCTCTCTCTCTCTCTCTCTCTCTCTCTCTCTCTTCTTGTCGGTGGTGGACAACGTTAATGAGCACAAAAATGATGATGAGAAGATATATGAGACTGTCTTCTGGGGTTGTCGTGCTATTTATAAATCAAAAGACAGGGAGTGTTTGAATGATATCGAATATGTTAGACTGGGTTTTGGTTTTTGACTGGACGGTAGTAAGAGATTACATGTTGAATTGTTGATTGACTTTGAATAAAGATAAAAAGGCGAAAATAAAAGTATTATAAGAACGCAGAATGTGAATGGGTCAAACACGTATGAAGCTAAAGTTTAGGCTCTGAAAGCGAACACCAAATGTGTGCCATGCACGAAGGAGCATGTCATTGGGGCTGGCGAAAAGAGTGTTCACGTTGTCAATTTGATGTGATATATTGTCTCTGGTCATATACGTTATACGATCAGATTTTCTTTGAGTAAAATAAATTTTATCTAAGTAGTAATCTGAATTTATCTCTGAGCAATCCAAATCAGAGTACACTTTTATGAGTTTTACGTACATGATCACCGATTTACTTATTGATTATCAAGATGGGTGAGGCTTATCGTTCTTCCAATTTTTTCGGTGCTGGCTGAAAGCATAAAAGTGAAGCGGTATTATGAATAAAAGAGAAAATAAAGCTGAATAATTACCAATCTAATTGAAGAAATTAAGTACTATCACCTAAAACTATGGGGAAAACTATGCTTAGTATTAATTCAGAGTTCAGGTACTTATTAATCATAGTTTGTGCCTGATCCAATTTAGTACGTCCGGTCTCGAGTCGAGTTTAGCCACCCGTCAAGTTAGAGCATTCCTTTTGAGGTAATATATATGTTACGCTATCGACTATTAGCTCTCGGACTCATGAGAATGTCCCTATGCATATGTTACTATTCCTTAATACGAGCTTCTCAACGTGTACAAGGATTAGAGTACCTGCATGAAGAGGGCGCCATAGTTTCTTTAAGCCCAAGAAGCTGTCTAAAGACACGGTTTAGCTCATCAGGCTCTTTGACCGCAAAGATTTCTCTTAATTTTTTATTTCTTTTTGTCGTCCCCAATTCAGCACAAGATGGTCCGCGTATTGATTATTATAATTATCATCATCAATTGGGACCGTTTCAATCCCAAATATGAACCCCCGACAAGACTTTTCTACTTTTCTCCTTTCCTAGGTTATTGTAATGTCTGCCAGAGAAGAACGAGGAACAACGGAGGCCACGTTGGTTGAAAGTGTCGCTTTGAAACGAAACAAAGCTTGCCCGCTGAAAATACATTCTACAGGGGACGGTTGCAGACAACGTACAAATTGTTCCGTTGTTGTTCTTGCTGAGGTTGATTTGACTCTCCTGCGTGCTGAAAGCATGCCAATGGTAGAGAGAGAGAGAGAGATCGCCAAGAGTTTACCATGAGCATACAGCACCAATTTTCTACAGAAATACTTCATTGATTACGGCAAACAACTTCGACCGTTCCTTGGTTATGTTGAATAGGCTTCTGGGTCAAAGTGGACCTCTACAGAGAGATTGAATAGGGAAGTCACGAACTTGCAAGACAAGCAACACGAGAGAATTCTCTTCCAACATATAAAACTTGGGAAGTCACGATCACAACTCATCACTAGCCCCATCTTTCTGAATGGTTATAGACCGTCTTTATCATAAGGCTACACGAATATAATGGAATATATCGAATCGGAACCAAACACGGAAGTACAAAGTTAGTCGGGTCACATACGGAAAACTCTCTTTCTCATACTTGAAAATGATCAAAGTATAAGAAAAGCTACAAAAACATTGCGCTCTCTTAAGTTTTTTAATAATACAATTATCCTTGGGTTTATCAAGTTCCTTGAGAGCATGAGTTACATACACAAAAATGAAAAAGTAAGTTCTTTCCATTGATATGTGGAACTCAGCTCCTTCGTTCTTAAGAATAGAGTGCTTTAGTACTCAGTTACCTCCAGTAATTTCCACAGATCCTCGCCGAATGCATGATCCCAACTTGACTCAAGTAAGCTTAAAGCGGAACAATCTTCCTGTGCTCTTCCTCAAGGATGGTGTTCTCATGTGTATGCATGTGGAAAATGTTAAGATAACTGATGTCTTTCTGCAGAAAACTCACTCATATACTATAAGAGGCCAAGTGGTCGACAAATCATGGCTTCATTTCGTCCAACTCTTTCTTGACTTCATCAAATGAAGACAGCATAGATAATCGCATGTTTGCTATCTGTACAAGTGTCTCCAATGCTGCAACAAATTATAAATTTTAGAAACATGCAGTCTATAAATTAGAGTCATACACACACATATTTGCAGTATAAAATGTTGATATCTGCAGTTTTTCATAGCTGGGGAAAAAAAGAAACTGTGATCTAATGAAGCAGGGCCAGTACTTCTTCTTCTTTTTTGTTCTTTTTGCTAAGTGAAGCTGAACTGGAACAAGTAAGAAGGGTGAATGAGCAGTAATGTAGAGAGCAAGAGAGATTCAGCACCTGTTTCAAATGAAAATTGAGCAGCTCGAAGCTTCGGGGATACTAGAGTTCCAAACACAGAGAGTGATTTGGCTCGCTCCTTCTGGACCTACAGTGTGTAACCAAATTTAAAACTTCTTCCAAAACAATTATGTGAGAATGTAATGTTAGGTTCCAATGGAGCCTTCCATTCACTGACAAGAAGTCATATTGCAGCTATCAGAGCTTTTTTTAATCAAGGGTACAGCCAAACCTCATCGATAGGATACCAAGGGGGTACCGCCCATGTAGAAATCTAGATATAAGACACAGTACATCACATCTAACAAAGAAAAGGTGTGGATCAATGATTTTGTGTGAACCAAGAAGTCAATGACGATATCCATTATCATTTACTCAATAGTAGACTCTCCCAGTTCTCAAAGCCCTGACATTTCTCCCTCCATCCACAAATAGCCGTAAAGGATAGCTAATCTAAGAGCATTTACAAGACTACATGCATTAACAAATATATAAAAGAGGAACCCTGGGAAGCCAAGTGTACCGAAAAAACAAGTATCTGCCTGCATCTCAAGTGCAGTGAGTGGAATGCCGTAAGACAAGCAATAGGGCAGAAGAAAAATGCGAATAACCTCAGTAAACTCACATTGAGTCAGCCCATTAGTTTTCCGAAATGAATAAGTCTTGTACTTACCATGTTGTTAACTACCGGTTGAGAAACCCCATCTTTCGACACTTTTTCCTGCAATTCTTCACATAGTAGGAAGGTAAATAACAATACAACACCATCAGTACCATCCTTGATGTTTAACCAGCACAAGCTTCCTATGCTAACATATTCTGATTGCTAAGTTCAACATATATTTCATAGACAAAAATCATATCACTACCAGAAGATGCAGTAGTGCCACGTCGTCGTATCTGTGTACCATCAGATTTCTCCTGCATTTTTTCCTTGCCAATTTTATCTTCACTAGAGCAACATTCTTGGGTATCAACAGATGAGGCCCACTTACACAAGTGAAAGAGAGGCTCTTTCGGAGTGGATTCAACTGCAGAAATCCATTCAAGAAACTTCAGTTGTATACAAAAACCAGTACACATAGTACTGACCAATCACTAGTTAAAAACGTGTGTTCTAAAATGCCCCAAAAGCTATACAATTATCTAACGATTCCCTAGATTTGATATTGAACCTATCTCCCAACAAGTAGCTCACTAGATTTCTGTTAAAGGCCATTACCATTCACACTTAAATTGCAACTCTTATGGAGAAGATATGTGAAGAAAAGCAAGTATAAACACACACGTTATGAATATGACAGAGAGAGAGAGATAGCTTACAGTCATGATGGTTCACTTGCAAGTGCGTAGCAGCAGAATGGTTCTTCAGGTCCAATAAAGCACTATTGATCCGTGATGCACCCATTGAATGTCGAGCACCAGCCAATTCAAACCACCCCTAGATATGCACAAACACAAAGGGTCAGAAACTGAAGAATGCATAATGACAAACATAAAGATTACGGATAGAGATACTTGTAGATGGAAAGAAATTCCACATCCAGAAATCTGTAAAATCAAACTTCAATATATTTGCAAATCTTTGCATGAAAAGCCAAAAGCTACATAAAAGTCAATATTACAAATGTAAACTTTGAGAATACTGTACATACCAAGTAGGAAGTCTAGGATATACATATACAGATACGGGTATCAATATATACGTAGATGCATGTGGTTGATGAGAGAGAGAGAAATAATAGTTTACCTGGCGAAGTGTCGTGGATAAAGAATCCATAAGGATCAGGTAGCTGTCCAGTGAATCCAGGAATTCCAAAATGTTAAGGTTCTGATCCTTTGCTGCAGATCCAACTTCTCCTCCTTCATCCTTATGCTGATTCTGACCAGCAATTTCAACGCTTAATGTTGCCTCCCCTTCTCCCATGGAGCTTCTGAGACTGTGAGTCGAAGCCTGTTGCTGGGACTTAGATAAAAATGACAAATATTTAGGCAAGGGTCACTAACAGCACCTTCTGCGAGCCAACTTTTAGTATGTAATAGCCTGCTTTAGCTTTACCAACGGGAAATTAGGTTGATAGCTAATAGGTAGGTATGTTAGCTGGAGTGTTGCTATCAAGTGAACGGGAAGCAGCACATTCCAGCAGAGAATAGATGAAAAATTTTCCTCTTTTTTCAATCAAGCTGAACACAACAATCTTAAGGACTCATCATCCTATTATATGGTTTCCATTCACTTCTTCCCCGATGAGCCACGAACCCCATCCCATAGGTATCGTACGTATGAATATGCGATGACCTTGTGATAATTCAAAAGGATCCATTTGGAGGATGGAGGACTAACAAAATCGAAACTTTTGTTACAAATACTCTGCTTTCTGGAGCCATTCGAGACGGGAGGCAACTAAAAAGAACCGGAATAATACGACATACTCCGAGCAACCCTTTTCTAAACAGACTTTTGAGCATTGTAGCTTCTATTCAAGACAGGCACAGGTACAAAATACAATGAATATGCTGCTCCGGCATTCGGATCCCCCACACTGTAACAATTCAATTGATCCCCATGTCGTAACAATCAGCAATCTTTCAGGAAAACAAGACTAATCATCGAGCAAACTGCAATGAAAATCCTAAAAATCCGGCCAAATTCAACTCGGTTCAAGTTCTCCGGTACCTGAGTTCCTGGCAAGAGCCATCACGGACGTATTTTCAATATCCTTCCATCAATCCCCCTAGAAACTCAACACTATCGAAATTGAAGATGCATTGACCAAGAGAAACCGACGACATCGAGCGCGTCGGATGCGAGCGAGTCCCGCGAGCTAACCGGTCACTTGGCCGCTGCGACTGAGCCGCCGTGTGATCGCTAGTCGGAGAGAGAGAGAGAGAGAGTACCTGATACACGAGTTGAAAGACGGATCGGGGCGGACCAGCGGGAGGACGACGGTGGAAGCGCCGGCGAACGGCGGTGTTCGGCGGAGGAGGGAGCGATGGCGGACGCGATGGGAGGTGGCGCTCCGATTTGAGGATTCCAGAGGAATCTCTTTCTCAGCTCAGTCGAAACGGGGCCGTCCGCATCGAAATTACGAAATTCGTGAAAATTAATTTTCCGCGACTTTTTTTTGTATAAACAAAATGACCACGAAAATGAAAAATTACTGCTTCATAAGGTAAAAATACTACTTTCTTTACATAGTCAAGAATAATTGTTATCTTTCGACCAAAAAAATAATTTTATTTTGAAAGAAAATTGCTCCACTCAAGAAAATTTACTATACTCATGTTTATTCGTCATGCATTGCAATGATAATTGGACATTTGAATTTGCTCGTGGCAAAAAAATTATGCAGATCGATACGGAGTATTTATGATGGTATTAATAGAATTACGAGCTATTTAAGAAAATTCACAACAAACATCAAGAATCGTGACCACACGATTATCATTGTGAAAGAAATTAATATGATTTTCGTAATACATAACATCATTGTATATCATGCGATCATATAATCACATCAAAAAATTTACTTCTTACTTGTAGTGTTGTTTTTTTATATATATATTTTGGACTATGGTGATCGATTTTAGAGTGGAACGTCGATTCTAGGGTGAGTTGATTCTCACCTTAGAACCGAAAACCAAACGAGAAAAGTTGATTCCTAATTTGTGAAATCGAGAACCGGCTCACCTGGTCCTGGAACCGGTTTGGTTTGGTTCCCGAATGAGTTTAGGAATCGGTAGTAATATATTCTTCTTTTTCATTCCCTGCAAGACTGCAAATATTGTTGCATAATCTAAACTATCATTCTTTATTATTTTGGATATTTAACCAATAAAAATCTCAGTGAAAAGAAGTTAAGAGTGTGATCAAATACGATCAAGCATCATTAACTTGCTATAAAAAAAAAGCATCAACCTCCTTGCAACTGGGAACCGGACCCACAATCACTGGTTCCAAACTTAGAATCTGGGAATCGCCCAAAATCGACTGATTTAATCTGGTTTTGGTGCTCACCTCTACTTGCATCTCCTACTAAAATAAGGGAAAATTCTAATTAAGGACCCCAAGTGGGGTTCTTTTCTCAAAAGAGGACCCAAAGTGAACATTGTGTCAAATAAGGACCTGAAGTGCCCAATCAGTCTCAAATAGGGGTCCGAAGTACTCAATTTGTCTCAGGTAAGGGCCTGGGTTCGCCAGCCGGTCAAATCTCGCCAGCCGCCGACAACCGGAACAGTACATTTCATCTCTGTTTTTTTTTTTCTTCCTCCGCCGGCCATAGTCGGAGGGCCGGGCCTGTGGAAGATCGCCGGCCGTCAGCGAGGGTCGCCCGACTGGGCCAGAGTTTGCGGAGCGGCGCTCGCGAGGGCGACCTCGCCGGCGGAGGGCGAGGGCTCGAGCTCGCCGGCCATCTGGGCGAGCTCAGCCGGCGAGCTCTACCCAGATCTGGGCGAGCTCGAGCTCGCCGTCCATCCGGGCGCCGGCGAGCTCGCCGAGATCCGGGCGAGCTCGAGCTCATGCCGACCCCGCCATGGGCGTGCGGGCTGGCGAGGGCGGAGCTCGCCCAGATGGCCGGCGAGCTCGAGCTCCCGCCGGTCTTAGCGAGCTCGAGCTCGCCGGCCATGGCACCCTCCCCCTCTCCTTCCCGCTGCAAGTTCTCCCCACGGAAGCCCCCGCCGGAGTCCCCGGGCTCCGCCGCCAGCCCCGCCCCGCCCGATACGGCCCTCGACAACCCGGATCTCGGGCCCTTCCTCCTCAAGCTCGCGCGCCACACCATCACCTCCGGCGACGGCCCCGCCAAGGCCCTCGACTACGCGATCCGGGCGAGGCCGACCTCCTCCAACTCGCCCGGATACGGGCGGAGCTCGCGCATGGCCGGCGAGCTCGAGGCTCGCCCAGATGCGGGGCGGCTCGCAAGGCCGAGCCTCGCCCGGATGAGGCCGCGAGCTCGAGCTCTCGCCGGCCTCAGCTCTGGCCCGGTCGCCGGTTGCCGGACCGGCGACCGGGGAAGAAGAAAAGAAAAGAAAAAAAAATTGGACAAAATTGCCCCTATTCCGGTGCCGGAAATGTCGGCCGGTCGCCGGCCGGAGAACATTTGGCCGGCTGGCGAGCTCAAGTCCTTAATTTGACACTAGTTTAGCACTTTGGGTCCTTAATTGATACCTTATCTACTTGAGGTCCTCTTTTGAAAAAAAAGCACCCATTTTGGGTCCTTATTTGATAATTTCCCACTAAAATAATGCGAAGGGAGAAAAAGAGTAATTTACCGCAGGGAGACACAAGAAATGGAAAAGGGGGAAAAAGCAGGTACTCTGAAGTGGATGACCAACCGCGTGATGACACTTGGCACCAGTTCAAGAAAGAGGCACGAAAAAGGAGGAAGCACAGTCCAACCACTATATGACACGTGGAAAAGGTGAAAAGCCTTTAACCATCCCTGTTCCCGACACTTGGCATCATTGGTCTGACACGTGGCACAAGGTGAAAGAGTTTGACCAGCCCTGCTTCAATTCATGCCCATAACTAATAAGATAAGACACAAAGAAACTTGCGTTGTGCATGAATGCGTAGGGAAATGGTGACATAGCGCCGCTTAAGTTCTTCCCATACGCGCTCTCCATCTTTCTTTCACCTAAACGTGCAATTTGGTCATGGTACTTTCACCTGCCTGCCACCCCTCTCTCTTATTCCTTGGAAAATTCTTGCACCGAACCGGGCTAGTACAGGTACAGTCATTGATCGTATGGATTCCACACGCTAGGGGATCATACGAGACCCATAGAGAACTCGCCTGATCGACGATCGAGATGAGCCCGATCCAGTATTTCTTATCATCCATCCGTCATTGCGTCTAGAATCTCTTTTTCTCCGAGACAAAGGCATTGTCGGTCCCAGTTGCAATTTCTGAAATGTCGCACCTGAACTTCCTTTTAATTCAATCTGGTCACTAGATTATGTTCTTTCTTATTCGTCTTGCTCCTTCGGTTAAAGATTTAAACGAGAATGATGGCATGGCTTCCATGTCAACAACTCCTCAGCACCATACTTACACCTTCGCCACGTAAGGGCCACGGTGGAAAGAAGCAAGGCGAAGAGAAAACACACAAACCCTAGGAGAGAGGGAGACGGCACTCAGCTGGTTGAAAGGGGTTGAGCTAGTTGGCGGAACGGCCGCATCGTGCAAACACCGGCATCGACGAGGCCTAGCGACCCTCACCCGCCTCAAGAATACCTATCGATCCATGCACTCTTCACGAACACGAAGGCTTAATCGCACCGTCTGCTTCAAACAATTTTGTGTAGTGGAGAAATTCTTGGGAAAACGTGAAAAGCAAAACCCATCTTCATGTGCAAATAAGCACAGACTCGAGAATTTGGTATTCTTGGACGATATAGTTCTGAGATCTTTGCTTCTGTTCTGGAGGGCATTGATGGGGTAATAAATTTTCAAGAATAAACCCTAGTTTTTTCACTGTCACACCGGATATACCGTGTACTTCGATTAAGCGTACCACATGCTCATCGAAGCGAGGAAGGGGAAGGATCATCCAGCGTGAGCTCTCCATCAAGGTCATAATCCGCGACGGCGACCGTCTCGACCCTCACCCAGATCTAGGTCAAACGATCAATGACCTAATCTCATGCAAGGTCGAGGAGCAGCGGCAAGGGTCATAATCAGTCATGACCCTCGCCGTTACTTATAGCGAGGGTTGCCCTCGCAAGTGGCCACAGTTGCCACCCTCTTCGGCGAGGTTGGTGTCCTCACCGGAGATAAGGATACACCACTACGCTGACCAGATCTTTGCTTCTTCTTGCTTTTTTCCTTTTCTCCGGCACAAAATCGGGGTCAATCCACTGCTCATACGGGGGAATGTACACCGGTTCTTCTTCTGGCTCAGCAGGCTCCTCCTCGGGTTCCGCCTCGGGTTCCTCCTCTTCTGGTCCCTCCTCTGGGATCGGCTCGAGATCCACATCCATCGGATCGTATCCCGCTTGCGATCCTTCGGGCTCTGGTTCCTGCTCGGCCGTCGAAGACTCCGGCGCTGCTGACGCAGGATGAAGTCCTGACTGCGCTAGACTAGTTTCCAAGCTAGTCAACTCGCCATCCGGAGGAGGTATAGCAGACGGGTCCCAATCCCCAACTCAATCAAAGGGGACATCAAAACCGCGGACGGGTCCAAACTCGTCTATCCCGTCCCTAAAGAACCAGGCGGTATATGTATGGGCCTCCCATAGGGGTAATCCTACATCTACAAATACTACGGTGGTGTGCTTAATCCAGGTCATATGGTCATCTATAGGAAACTCTACCACATTGTGTTCGGTGTGCATCGGTACTCCAAAACGCTCGGGTGGCGGTGGCGGCGGAGGATTCATTGATCAGGCCGGGGTTCTGAAAAATATTGGTTGAAACAACCATGAGATTACATCTTAGTAAGTACACACCTAAACCCCACCTAGGCTATCACGTACCTCCAGACCATCACAAAACACAATCACACACCCAACCATTACATAGCAGGCACATCATTTATTCTTACCTGGGCTTATCCTGCGTGCAACCTGCACATTAGTAACAACCACACCAAATCCAATCACATGCACGTTCAAATCTCATTTTACGCATTCGTTCCGATTTCATCACATCTTTTCCACACCACTCGCCAGTGACCTGCGTAATGAAACCGCCTCAGGTACACTGCGACCATCTCACACTTATCTCGCCAGTGGCCCGCGTAGTGGTACCGCCTCAGGCTCACTGCGACCATCTCATCAAAACACTTCAGGGCCCGCGTAATGGTACCGCCTCAGGCCATGTATCTTGCCCGCGTAGTGGTACCGCCTCAAGCTCAACACCTACCACCTAACATCACAACACTCCAGAGCCCGCGTAATGGTACTGCCTCCGGCCATGTATGTTGCCTGCGTAGTGGTACCGCCTCAGGCTTAACACCTACCACCTACGACATAACCCGCGTAATAGTACCGCCTCAGGTTGGCCGTCCTCCGGTAATACCGGGCATCGTCCCGCGTAGTCGTACCGCCTCAGGACGGATCAATTCCCCGCTCTTGCA